GGCAGAGCTACTTTCCAGCAGGTCAGCCCCCAGCCTGTACTGGTGCATGGGATTATTCCTGCCTTGGTGCAGGACCTTGCACTTGCCTTTGTTGACCTTCAGGAGGTTCCTCTCTGCCCAGTTCTCCAGCCTGTCCAGGTCCCTCTGAATGGCAGCACAGCCTCCTGGTGTGTTAGCCTCTCCCCCCAGTTTAGTATCATCAGCAAACTTGCTGAGGGTGCACTCTGTCCCTTCCTCCAGGTCATTGATGAATATATTGAACAAGACTGGACCCAGGACTGACCCTGGGGGACACCGCTAGCCACAGGCCTCCAACTTGACTCTGCGCCATTCACTGTGTCAAGCCACATAGGTGTACTTTAAAAGCAAAGGCATTAGTAGCGTTACCTTGCTTGTACAATAACTAGATTATTGTGTAAGATTCAACAGGAAAATTTGTTACTTATTTTGTACACAGGGACAGGAGCTGGATTTCTTTTATTAAAGAATCAAGTTTCCGGGTGGGATAATAGAATTGTATCTATATTGAACTATATTGAAAGTGGATTACTTTTACACTTCATAGGAGATTAAAAATACCCGCATTTACAGGTTTTTTTTCATCAGATCAGATTAAATATGAAGGACAACCCAAAGGATTGTATCAATCTCCAATTTATCCAGTTAACAATTTCGTTATTTAAAATGTCAAAAGAAAAAAAACCCCACTCTTCAGGGCAAGTACCATTTTGGGCTTGCTGAGGTAGTAGGGTAACCCTTTCCTGTGAGTAGGACTTCACGAACCCAGTGTGTCAGTACAAACGCATTGTACAGGATGGCTGCAGTTTGCTAACTCAGTCATTGAAATGGTAGAAGTAGAAATGACTCTTCAAATTTAAGGAACCAGAGCAAGAATGTGAAACATGGTTAGCTGTGCTGAAGGATGAAACCTAGGCTTGAATTTTTTTGTTGTGTTCCAGATGCTAATTGGACCAAGTCCTGAAAAGAAGACTAAGGCACAATGTCTTTCTATCCTCATGATGGTGAGTTTTGCAAGTGAAATGTATGTGTGTATTTTTAAAAAGAATCTGCATGCTAGGTTATCAGTGAAGCAGAGTGTTTTACATCTCTTCACTGGTTTTCCATATGACCCCATATTAAAAATTTGGTTAAAAATGCAGAGAATGATATCCACAAAGATGCCATTCTCATACGTGTAACTAGGACAGTTTAAGTTGTTTTTTGTTAAGATGAAATTTGTCAGTTAAGATGGTCAGACAAGTAGCCCATTGTCCCTCCTGCCGGTAGCATTTACTACTGTTCACTGCTACTTTGTAAGTGAATAGAATATTCTTGCTTACAAACTGTGTCTACTCTAAGCTATCAGCAGTGGCTTCAGTCAGTTGAATTTAAAATAGAGATTTGAATACACAACCCACCAGCTGGGGCCTTTATATTATACTGTTATCAGGCACGTGCAGTTTTAAAATATCTGGCAACATCCAGCACAAGGCATTGTGGGTGTGTTCTATAGGTCTTCTTATTAACATTAGAGACACATTATTAAGAGGACTCTCCAATCCTTTCCCCTTTTCA